TACCGCCCACGTCATATATTCACCATAAACGCTCACATAACTGCACACCGTGTGCTTAGGTTCTCCCTCGTTTATCTTTACTTTCACTCCTTTCTGCTGTTGTCAGTCCTCCCTCTCTCTTTTTTCTCCTTGCTTCACTCATCTTTAAAATGGAACTGATATAGATATTACAGAAACATTTGATTTCTGTACTCATTGATGGTCAGAAAGTAAATTATAGCTTTTAGAAATTGAGATGAGGACTGTAAATATGTCAAATCAAGAGTCAATTGATTATAAAAACAAGTGTGAATTATTTAAAGATGATCTGTTGTTGTTGTTGACTTACCTGAACTCAGTTAAAGACTGAATATGGAACAGGAACACCAAAGCGACATCTAGTGTGTGGAGGTTGTAGTTGCAACAATAGAACAAGGTTTTCCAGCCGTCTGGATACCAGGTTTGCTGCCCATACATGAAATGTTTAATTTGGGTCCATCTGTTGTAGGCTTCACCTAAACTCACTCTGGTGTTAGATCTTTTATGGTCGCTCCCCTTCTGAGAAGGATAATGACATCTCCTGGGCTCAGAAGCAGCTGCTTGACTTCCGGAGTCCGCCATTTTCCACAGAGCCAGCCTCGCTGTGCCAAGTAGACTGTTTGGCAACCCGCAACGATGCCCTCTAATGGCTGGTAGATGCAGACATAAACCCAGTGTTATGCAGATGTTATTAGTGAACATAAAAATACATTTAAATTAAATTCTGCGACAGCACCGGGCTGCCCGAGGATGTCCCTGACTTTAAATTGTCTTTACTAAGAACAAATATCGGCTGCTGCCGATGTATAAAATGAAACAGTAAATATCGGCCTACCGATACCCCCGATCCTAATTATGACTTAAGCTGATGAGCTCACTAAAGCCATAAACACTAGATGTGTGTCTGTTACTGAAAACAAAATAATTGTTCTGTAATGTGTTAAGTCCCTTTTCTAAGAGCTTGGTTAGGGTTTTTCTCTTTACTGTCAACATTAATTTATACCTCACTCTTCTTTTTACTGTTGGTCACAGAAGCAAACACCGATCATCTATTTGTCTGTAAGAATTTGACACAAGTTTATTATTTCATCCAACTTAACCTGCTAGTTTTGTAATATCCACATCTAAATGTGGTGCTTTTATTTGCTCATAAGTTACATCATACTTCCACACTTCATCCCTGTAACTTTGCTGTTTGATGTCTTTCCAATAAAGTTTGTGTAAATAGCCTTTTTGCAGCTGTGGGTTACAGTATATTTTCTAAAAACGGCACATCATGATTTAAAATTTTGCTCCCGGCCTTCCCTGCAAATTATGTAAGATTAGATAATTTTTTTTCTTATGTAAGATCCTGTTGCTCTATTTCAACATGTGTGAGCTTCAGCTTCTGTTACCAGAAACAATGTGGTGTTACGTTGTGTGTCAGCGAACCCCCTCTTCAGCCGTAGAAGAAGTTAAGTCTGACCTGCTGACCCACTCCTGAAACCCCTCATGGGAAACGTCTCCTCCTTCTCATTCTTGTCCTCCACTCGTCCTCCTCTGCTTCTCGCCTTCTTTCTTCCCTCTCAAAGCTGTTAGCCAACATGAGTCATTCTCACCTGGTGAATAATTTAAAAAGTCTGGGACTCTCTCTCTCTCTCTCTGCCTGTCCACAGAGGGGTTGCTGATGGAGAAGGGGGGGGGGGGGAATGATACCTTCCTCAGCATCACCTAGAGGGGCGAGCGTGATGGGCCGGATTACGAGCAACTGCCATCTATCCTTCACAAACACGTTTGCTCTCACCATCCATCCTTGAAACAACTCCCCCAGTCCCCGTTCACAACATGGCTGCCATATTTTCCTGGCGTACACAACATGATGGAGCTGCGGAGGCCGTGTATCGTGACCTGGATGGGTCATTTTTGGGGTACGGTGCATGATAGATGGGGTTTAACAGACTCCACAAGGACAGGAGGAGATTTGCAGCCATGTTTGGCGTTCATCCCCCCTCCAGGACAATTGGATTAGCACCATTTAAAACAGAATAGCTCCGGTTGTTTAGCTGTGGTGCTGGCAGCACTGGGCAGATTTTACGTCTCCTATCAGCAAAGTTACATCAGGTCATCAGTCTTTCTGGAAGAATATTACATCAGTGTCGAGTTGTTTTTCTGCCCCTTTCTCTCTGACTGGAAGTGCTTGTTGAGTTAGCACTAAAATAATCTGACCTGGGAATATGGATGAAATGTCTTTTATTACTCTGAGCTGCTGCTAGCACACAGCTTAGTGCTGGCCATGCACTCTGTATAAGCAGATATGTTTGAATATCTTTTTTTTAATTTTTTTATTATTATTTTTTTTGCTGATTGAATACGTTTGGATTTTATCAGCATGATCATCACATTTCTCAGTTTGCTTTTATAATTAACTCAGAGGGAAAGGCTTGAGTGACTGCATGCTACTTCACAGTGTCCGCTCACTGGTGCTAATGAGCATAGCCTCGTGGTGATGTAAAAAAATAATATATATGCATTTCTTTTCCCAAATATTTTGTCATGCATTAATCATTCTCATTCTCCTTTTAGTTTGGGGAATCGGGTGTGAATTGGTCACCATGCAGTGACTGTAGGATGGAGTGAGAGATGCACCAGTGAATCGTACATTGTCTGTAGTAATGAGGAGTATTTTACCCTTTCATTTACGTTTCCACTCTCGTTCATGGTCTAGAGATCTTGATCATGACCAAAGGAAAACTATCCTGGATCCAAGTGCATACAGTGAGCTTCTTTTACGAGGAGCTCCGTCATCTAGGATGAGCTCAGATTCGAGCCACTGTGCCTCCTCATTGGAGGGAGTTCGCTATGTTGATTTAGACATCAGATTATTATACCTTCCTCTGAAGGTCTTTCAGGTGTTTCCCTTGGAAAGAGAACATAGAACCCAAAGAAGAGAATGCTCTTTGGCCTGGGAACACCTTTAGATCCCTAGGGAGTAGGTGGAGAGGAAAATGTTTAATTGGATCTTTTACCTCCATGATCCAACTTTGGATAAGTAACGGAGTTTGGATGAGTGGTCACCAACATTGAAATGTGGTCAAACTCATTGATTAGATGACTACTTTAACTTTTCCAACACCTTCATTTGACCATATATAAAGTGGCAGTGTGTAGTTTCCTGCCGCTAGGGGGCAGTACAGACATTTCAGGGTAGTTTTACACCATATCATCACGACTGTCACTAGTTCAAATAGAGTAGACTGGAGTCTGGACTTTATTAATCCCACAGTGGGAAAATTCACTTGCTACAGTAGCACCAACACTTAGAGAAAAGGGAGAAGAAATATAATAAGATGACAGCTACACACACACAAAGACAATAAGCTATTATTGTAACCTTCAACCACTTAAAACAAGAAATAAAAAGGAAACTGTTATTTCCAGAACATACTGTAAAGACACAGGCATACTAATGTACATCTGGTATTGCACAAGTATTGAACACGTACTGAGTATTGCACTGATGTTATCGTGTACCAGGATAATGCCAGTACAGCTTAAAGCATGCAACCTTGGCGTGACTCCTCAAACTTTGATGGTCCTTCAGTAATTCCATCGAGAGAATGCAATGCCGATGCTAGTTTTCTCTACTCTGGTCCTCAGTGCCGCCCTGTCCTGGTGTTTTCCATGTCTCTGCTGCTGCACACCTGGTTCATGTATTTGCTTTGCCTCTTCAGGATGACATCAAGTGCTGCAGAAGCCTGTTAATCACTCATTCGTTTAAGTCAGGTGTGTGGCAGCAGAGAAACAATGCTGTTGGAAATGGCAACAGAGAAAACATGCAAGGGGGGGGGCGCTGAGGGCCAGGGTTGAGAAACACTGCCGTAATGTGTTTGGGATTTCATTGTGTTTGTCGTGATTGGGGAACCACCTCAGTAACAGCAGCAGTTTTTCTGAGAAAGCAGAAAGTTCAAGACACATAATTAATTTTTAGATGGTCAGAATGTTACAATATTACGTCACAAATGTTGATTATGAACACAAACTGATTGACCTGCTGACAGTTCCCTTGAATGGGATTATTTTAAATTGGATTCTAATTCAATTTTAATCTGGATCTGTTTGGTCCAATTCATCTGGGCTGATTTGTGTCTGTAGCTGGATTAAACCTGTTGGTTTCTTCTCTAATGCATGACTCACATCTTCACCGCTGTTTGATATATTTTGGATCTGTCTGTTCACATCATATCAACACTGTATTCCAACTATGAGAGTCTGCACATTCTAACCACGGTGTGGACCCAGCGTAGCTGCAAAGTGCATATTTTCTACATCTCCGACTCTCATTGTGATCTTTGCTGGTAACGCTGCAGAGTGTGAAATGAAGTACGGCACTGTGAGAATCTGATCATACCTTGCCTAAGTGAAGGAAACAAAGAGAGACTGAGATGAAAATGGGACCTGACAGCTGGATCCAGATTGAGTGTTGCGTTAACGTTATATTTGATTTTTTACTGCTGCTCGTGCCGATTGCTTCATATTAAAATGTGGCTGGCTCCTAATAGCCCACACCGGTAAGGCCGTGGAGCTGAGGTCAGGGTCTCCAATCGCCGGGTTGAATTACTGCCAGAACTGGATTTGATTACTTTCTATGGGAATTGATTGATGCTGCAATGGAACCAATTAGATGTTCCCTAAATCCCAACCAGATCCCTCCAGACCTGCTAAGAAATGCTCGCTCGGTAATTTAAAAGATTTCAATTAGCAATCGACCCAGGTCTGGCCTGGCCTGGTCTGGTGGCTTTCCTGGATTACTGACACCATTATGTGCTGATGCTATCGCAGCTTTTCTTTTCTTTATTCATTTTTGTAATTATTTGAACTGCACCTTGCCTTCTCCTCTAAAACATTGTTGCCATTCATGTACATTTGCTGGCTTCTCTTTTTCCTCTCCCATCATTAATCTTTTTCTACTTGCTTCTGTCTTTCACGCTTGCTCTTTGTCTCAGCTTTGGCAAATAACTCCCATGCCTGGCAATCCCAGTCACGTAAGTTACCCTAACTTTCGTTTGTTGCATCAGGCTGCCTGCTTTGTGCACGCAGACACCTCGCTAATTGCCAACTGCTTCACATCATGCTGTTGTAGGGGCAAATTCTCCTCCTGTTTCAGCTGAAATTACCAAATCAACGACACTCCTCTTAAAGTAAAGAGGATGTTTTTGGTCTTAAAGCTCAAATGGGTTTAAAATAGGAGACCCAGGAGAGGAGATCCTGAGCAGCAGGTTGAACTTTACACAGATTTGCATCTCACAGCTTTAGCAGTTTGTACCAGATTCATTTTATCCTCATTAGTCTTTAATGATCCATATGGTCTACTGAGAAGATGCTCAACATCTGGATGACATTGGCTCATTGACGCCCCCTAGTGATCTAAAGCTGCACTTCTGCAGCTTCTCCCTCAAACTAATCTTTTAGGAAACTGAAATGTGTCATCTTTGTGATTTTAAGGTAAATTTCCTCACCCTTGTCTTTAAATTGTTGTTCCTGAGATTCTTGTGAAAGAGCGGCTTCACCACTTAATCCTGTTATGTGGTAAAAAAGAAACTTCACACATAATTTATCTGCTTAATCTCAAAAACTGTTATCTAAAAGCATAATTGGATTTTATTTAAATATGTGATTACAGATTGTGCTTTTTTATTAAAGATTGAAAAAAAAAGTTTGGTTGACACCACTAACCCGGTTCTCTTTTATCCCGACTCCATAGTACGCTTTGCACCCTATCGGCCTCAAGACATCGCTCTCAAGCCCCTACTATTCGAGGTGCCCAGCATCACCATGGACTCCATCTTCACTGGACGAGAGTGGCTCTTTCAAGAGATCGACGCTTACCTCAACAGCCCTAACTGCAGCACCAACCGCGGCGTCGTGATCGTGGGAAACATCGGCTTTGGCAAAACGGCGATCATCTCTCGGCTGGTGGCGCTGAGCTGCCACGGCACCCGCATGAGGCAGATTGCTTCAGACAGCCCTCAGGCTTCACCCAAACGTAGGCATTCACTCATTCATGAGAATATCATTGTGGTGTAGTTGAGTCCTTCTAAGTGAGATTTGCTGTCTTGTGTGCAGATGGAGAGGGACTCCCTCTCACCCAACCACAGCCTACACATGGCACCCTGGGAGGAGGCAGCTGTCCTGGAACCCCTGAGATGAGGCGACGTCAGGAAGAGTCTATGAGGAGGCTAGCATCACAGGTATGACTCCACCATTAGGGAGCTCTGTCTGCTTTAGTTGCAGGTGGTTACGATGGCATTAGCCACACCTGGGTCAGGTGTTAGTTTGTCTATAAAGACTCTTTACTGTTTGCTGTCATGTCTCTCTTAGGGAGTTTGCCAACTTTTGTTACATGTTTGAGCCTGACTGAAATGATGGGGGCTCGCCCGGGATTCAAACTCTACACATTTTGCACAAATCATCACACAAGTACATAGTTTTAAATCAGATTTTAAGCACTCTTATAACTCACTAAAGAAACGTTCAGTCTTTATCTTAAAGTACATTTTCCCCCTTCATTTTGAAGAATAAAAACAACAAAAACAGAAAAAAATTAAATGTTAAAACAAAAAAAATTCCAACAAATCAAAACAAAATCGAAACAAAATTATAAATATTATTTCCAGAATGTGTTCATTACTTTTAAATATCTGTTCTTCAGCCTTTTACTGTATCTAATAATTGGGCTGAGGAGAAAATGTGATAAAAATATTAGTAGTCACTTCATTAGTGCATCATTAATTTTGGGTAAGTACTAAAGCCCAAACCAATTATAAACATGTATACCTCGTCACATCCTAATCGTTTGACTGCAGCCGTGCTCTGATTTATGAGCTCATTCACTGTTTATGCATTGTCTTTGCTTCTTTCTGTGTGAGTGAATAAAAATGCATCCCTTATTTTTGCTATGCCTCAATTCAATTGTCATAAAAAATACAAAAACACAGTAAAGTAATACCAAAACCCATCTTTTAATGTCATAGTTTTTCAATTTGTGAAAGAGGGTGTGCTGTAGCTAATCACTGGCTCTGCGGAAAACACTAGATGAATGTAAGGGCTCGCTGAGGTCGAGTTCTGTCAGAAATTAAACACAAGTTCAGCACCACCCATGAGTAGCTTTGTTTGTAACAGGTGGAGGTAATTTGGGACCTTAATGAGGTTTTGGTTGTGTTTCATGCTTTTGCATCCAGCTTGTACCGCTCCATCTTCTGTGTCTTTAATGTGGATGTATATAATGTGTGAAACCTGCCCACTCGTTCTGTTCTTCCTGTCTGCTGTTGCACCTCGATCCCCCTTCCCTGCTGCTTGGCCATCTGCATCGCAGGCCCCAGCCTGCTGCATTATGCAGATGTGTTTAAAAAAGAAAAAACAACTTTGCCAGGGATCCTTATGAAATATTTATACCTGAAGAAATCCATTTCCCAGCCAAGCTATTAGATCTTGTTAACTCTGAGCATTAATAATTGAGCTCACTCCCGTTTTCACCCCTTTTGTTTTAAAGCCCTTTATTCCTCAGTGACCAAAAATTAGCATTCCATTTTGATTAGTTCCTTTTTTTTTCCTCCTCCATCCCCATTTCTGTCCCTGGCCCTCGGATCGCCACTGCCACTGCTGAAAATTCAAACTCTTTGTGATCTCTTAATCCCCCCCGGAGTGCTCAGTCACACCTGCTGCCATTGTTTAGTTAGCTCACCTTTCACTAAATTCAACCACGTTTTGACCGTTTTGTTTCAAATCCATGCAGAGAATACTTTTTGTTCACCCGCCTGCAAAATCATTCAGCTGATCGTGATTCGTGTGCGTAGCTGTGAAACGTGCCGGTTTAACACTTGACTCCTCGGCGCCGCAGTCGGCTCACACTCCAGCATGAGCCGACTCCGAATCAGTTTCTCCTGGCTGCCAGAGGCGATGAATTATTAATAGCTAAATCCATACAGTGAAACAAGACGTATTATGTTTCATTATACCAGAATCATCCACCATGAAGTTGACTCAATCCCAAATGACTTGTAGCATTGGTAGAAACCAAGAAAAAAACTGCAGCGATTCCTAAAGTGTCACCCATACCCCTTTCAAACCAGAAACCGACCTCTAATCAGCTTTGCCAGACAAAAAGTTGATTAAAGGGGTATACTTCTGATGCTCTCCTCCCTCTCTGTCGCCCCCAGGTGGTGGCCTACCATTACTGCCAGGCAGATAACGCCTACACTTGTTTGGTGCCGGAGTTTGTGCACAACGTGGCGGCTTTGTTGTGCCGCTCGCCACACCTGGTGGCCTACAGGGAGCAGCTGCTGAGGGAGCCACACCTGCAGAGCATCCTGAGTCTGCGCTCCTGCGTCCAGGACCCCCTGTCTTCCTTCAGGAGGGGGGTCCTAGAGCCCCTGGATGTGCTTTATAAAGGTGAGATGGAGGTGGAATGTACTCATGCTTTTGTGTTAGTAGATGTGTATTCAGTGAAATTCTTAATAATTGCTCCACAAGTTTTTTTTATAGTCCTGGTAGACTTCATCAATCATTTCCACCTGTTTGGCTTACAAACTTTATTTACTGTTGTGAAAAAATCACCACTTTTGGGCCAAAAAGCTAAAATTATTAAGTATTTCTACCCTGAGAAGCAATAAAATCCTACATTTGGTTGGTTTCTTCTTTTTACTGCTCCGTTAACTATCTCGAGGCTTCCTGCCTTTTATTTATGAAGATATTTTACCAAATTTTCCATTTTAAGTCATTGACACACATTTACTGCCAGTGCCTCCTCACACACCAGTGTCTAATATTTGACATGAGAGATGGGTTCACAACTGAAATTATTACACACTTTAATGTAAATACACACACGAATCTGTTATAGTTATCTATGTTTTCAAATCTGTCGCCTGAAGTTGTTTTGTAGTTTTCTTTCAGAAATGGTGCATTGTTTATTCTCGAGTCTCCAGCAGCGTCTGTGCTGATTTGTTTTTATGTCTGTGTTTGTTTTCCAGAGAGAAAGATTAACTCAGAAGAAGACTTTATTGTCCTCATCGATGGCCTCAATGAGGCCGAGTTCCACAAGCCCGACTACGGAGACACCATCGTGTCCTTCCTCACCAAAACCATCAACAGGTTTCCTCCCTGGCTCAAACTGGTGGTCACCGTCAGAACCACGTTACAGGTAAGCAAAGCCGCCCAGGATCTGCTTTAAAGCTCTTTTTCATGTGTGCACCTTTAGTCCACACATAAAAGGAGTATTTGGTGAGAAACACTTTTGAAAGTGGAGAGTTTTTAAAACTCTGTTTTTGGTGCGTCTGTGGGGGCACAACTTATTTGTGGTGCGGCTGAGATTTTAGCATTTCTGTTCGAATAATTCTGAAGGAACATATTTTTATAAATGTCAAAAAACCTTCCAGTTTAAAAATAAATCTGGAGTAATTTAGAAAGGATAAAATAAATTCCACAGCTTCTCTTAAAGGTGCAGAACACTGAAAAACATTTTAATGATTATTTCTGATTACAGGGAGTGCAGAATTATTAGGCAAGTTGTATTTTTGAGGAATAATTTTATTATTGAACAACAACCATGTTCTCAATGAACCCAAAAACTCATTAATATCAAAGCTGAATGTTTTTGGAAGTAGTTTTTAGTTTGTTTGTAGTTTTAGCTATTTTAGGGGGATATCTGTGTGTGCAGGTGACTATTACTGTGTATAATTATTAGGCAACTTAACAAAAAACAAATATATACCCTTTTCAATTATTTTTACCAGTGAAACCAATATAACATCTCCACATTCACAAATATACATTTCTGACATTCAAAAACAATACAAAAACAAATCAGCGACCAATATAGCCACCTTTCTTTGCAAGGACACTCAAAAGCCTGCCATCCATGGATGCTGTCAGTGTTTTGATCTGTTCACCATCAACATTGCGTGCAGCAGCAACCACAGCCTCCCAGACACTGTTCAGAGAGGTGTACCGTTTTCCCTCCTTGTAAATCTCACATTTGATGATGGACCACAGGTTCTCAATGGGGTTCAGATCAGGTGAACAAGGTGGCCATGTCAGTAGTTTTTCTTCTTTTATACCCTTTCTTGCCAGCCACGCTGTGGAGTACTTGGACGCGAGTGATGGAGCATTGTCCTGCATGAAAATCATGTTTTTCTTGAAGGATGCAGACTTCTTCCTGTACCACTGCTTGAAGAAGGTGTCTTCCAGAAACTGGCAGTAGGACTGGGAGTTGAGCTTGACTCCATCCTCAACCCGAAAAGGCTCCACAAGCTCATCTTTGATGATACCAGCCCAAACTAGTACTCCACCTCCACCTTGCTGGCGTCTGAGTCGGACTGGAGCTCTCTGCCCTTTACCAATCCAGCCCCGGGCCCATCCATCTGGCCCATCAAGACTCACTCTCATTTCAACAGTCCATAAAACCTTAGAAAAATCAGTCTTGAGATATTTCTTGGCCCGGTCTTGACGTTTCAGCTTGTGTGTCTTGTTCAGTGGTGGTCGTCTTTCAGCCTTTCTTACCTTGGCCATGTCTCTGAGTATTGCACACCTTGTGCTTTTGGGCACTCCAGTGATGTTGCAGCTCTGAAATATGGCCAAACTGGTGGCAAGTGGCATCTTGGCAGCTGCATGCTTGACTTTTCTCACTTCATGGGCAGTTATTTTGCGTCTTGGTTTGTCCACACATTTCTTGCGGCCCTGTTGACTAATTTGAATGAAACACTTGATTGTTCGATGATCACGCTTCAGAAGCTTTGCAATTTTAAGACTGCTGCGTCCCTCTGCAAGGTATCTCACTATTTTTGACTTTTTTTGAGCCTGTCAAGTCCTTCTTTTGACCTATTTTGCCAAAGGAAAGGAAGTTGCCTAATAATTATGCACACCTGATATAGGGTGTTGATGTCATTAGACCACACCCCTTCTCATTACAGAGATGCACATCACCTAATATGCTTAATTGGTAGTAGGCTTTCGAGCCTATACAGCTTGGAGTAAGACAACATGCATGAAGAGGATGATGTGGACAAAATACTCACTTGCCTAATAATTCTGCACTCCCTTTATAATGGGTCATTCTGAAGCTGAACATGAAAATAGTCTCCTACACCTATCTCCTGCATTAGCTTCTGATAGAAAACAGATGTGAAGCTCTAGGATTTGAAAAGCCTGACAGATCTATGTCACTCTGTCACTTAACATTCATGGATTCATGTTGCAAAGTAAATGGAGTCGACGGCAGCCATGTTGCTGTTACCCAATCCGAGGATAGATGCCCAAATATCAGGAAAAAAGGACTCCAAAACCTGCCGTCTGAAGCTCAGCTGTGATGTGGGCAACATATAGGTCTGAGAAATGGTACACCGGTATACCCCCCCCCCCCCCCCCCACCCCCCACCCCCCACCCCAACAAAGAACGATGTTCAAGACATTCATTCCTAGAGACCACTGCAAATGTATAGATTAAACATACATTTTAACAAAATTTTTAAAGAACTTCTCAAAATTCCATTTATTCCATTTTTATAAACTTCAGACATTTTGAATGATTTAAGTTTGAAACTCTTACTTTGAAGGACTGGTGGAAGTCCTATGAGTTTTGTGCTGGATGCTGCTGTGGGAGGAAAGCTGTTGTGTTGTTCTCAGATGCCTTACTTATAACAATAATAAGACAGAATAAACTTAATAAAGGCTTGATTTACTTTTTCATTTTTTTCTCAACATTTCAGCTTTTTTAAAGATGTTTGACCTTCGTCCTGATATTTCAGCATAATTCTTGATAAAACTTATTATTTCTGTGAAATGATGGCAATCTGTACATTTTCAGTTTCTTGCTTTTTCATCTTTTTCAGTTCACATTCAACCCGATTGATTTAGTTGTCTAAATTACAACATAGCACTTTGATAACCCGTGAAGCTCTTTTTTGTTATTTATTCAGATAAATACTCAAACGTGTTTCTGCTTGTGATCTCGCTTGTAGGAGATCACCAACGCGCTGCCGTTTCACCGCATCTTCCTGGACGGTCTGGAGGAGAATGACGCCATAGACCAGGACCTGCAAGGCTACATCCTGCACCGCATCCACAGCAGCCCGGAGATCCAGAACAACATTTCGCTCAACGGCAAGATGGACAACACCACCTTCGGCAAGCTCAGCGCCCACCTCAAGGCCCTGAGCCAGGGATCCTACCTGTACCTCAAACTCACCTTTGACCTCATCGAGAAGGGCTACCTGGTGTTGAAAAGTTCCAGTTACAAGGTGTGCACTTGTAGCTTTTGTGAGGGTTTTCACTGGATGAATCAGAGCTGAGACCAGTGGATTTGACACCTTTAGAGTGTGAAATGAAAAGATGTGAGAAAAACATCCAGAGGAGGATATGATGTACAAACAGGTGTGAAGTTGTTTTAATACAAGCCTGCAGCCAATTGCCACTGATTTTTCCTCCTCATCAACAAAATCCACTTTTATACCTGCAGGAACTTTAATAAAGACAGTTAAGGCCGTGAAGAAAACACCTGATGCCTCTTTCTTAGAGCAGTTATAATTAAAAATGCCGATATGACTTGCCAGGGAAATGGTTGGGTTTTAAGCTTTTTTATGTATTCATATGAGAATTACTAAAAGTAAATGTAATCATACAGCAGCTTCATTTGGCTTGCATTTAATTATGCTTGTAGACCCTGTAATCCAAAATAAATAACTTACTAATTCCCCCAGACAATGCAGGAACTATTATTAATATTTTTGTTTACCTGCATTCTGGCTTGCTTTGTATGAAAGTAGCTTCAGCAGCCAAACCTCCAACACCTGTCAGATAAATAATGCATTTGAAAAGTTTCAATGTGCATTTGGTAATGAAATATTTTATCCCACACCCCCAGATTCATTTAATTTCATGTATTCGGATGTGCTTCTAGACTCCCTGGAATAAATGACACATGATAAATTTACATTCTCGGCTCAAAGGAAGTTGGTGTGGAGCAGTCGGGGCTGCGTCGTGCAAACACGATGCATTATTCATCATGTGACGAGCTGATCCTAAGGACATCAGCAGTCAGGTTCTCACCTTGTTTTTTGTCCCAGGTGGTTCCAGTAAACCTGGCGGAGGTCTACCTGCTGCAGTGCAACATGCGTTTCCCCACGCAGTCCTCGTTCGAGCGGGCGCTTCCTCTCCTCAACGTGGCTGTGGCATCGCTCCATCCGCTGACAGACGAGCAGATTTATCAGGCCATCAACTCTGGCTCACTGCAGGTCGATATCCTAAAAACACACACATCGAGACTTTTACACTTCCTATTTAAATAACTATATATTTGTTCTTTATGCTTGAGATTGTGTTTGATCCTATTATATCAAACAAGAGCTTATGATATCATGTGAGATTGTGCTTTTAATTTTAACGATTTGAGAAAAGAAGCTATAACTCCACCATGTCTCAACATGAGGTGTTAGCTCTTTGAATTTAAAGTGATGAAAACAGTTTCAGACCAACATTTCTGAGTGGTCTTCTAGAGACATTGATTGGTCAAAAACAACATCCCAATTCATCAAGTTTGACTTGACAGCAGGAGCTAAATGACCAAGTTGTTGACTAATCAAAGGAACCGTGCTCTTAGGGGTAATGATCAGACATTCAGAGTTTAACTGAAGGAAGTTTTCTTCTAGCCAGCTGGTGATAGCTGATAGGCACTCTAATAATTCAGGCAGTTCATAGAACTCACAATCCTTAAAGGAGCAGTACAGCTGAAAGTCATCTACACATAGGTGATGAGAGACATTATAGAAAGAATCAGGTGGCTGTCCAGTAGGGTGTATAGATAGCAAAAACAAGAGTGGACCCAAAACTGAGCCTTGGGGTATCCCACAGATCTGCTTGCTAGAATCTGACATGGTTTGGTTTATGCAGACTCTGATACTGATGTTAGCATTTAAACTGGCAACAAATTCAGGTGATTCCTCTTATTTTTAACTCAGAGGTTCATTATTTTAAAACATTTGATTAAATCCATATGAAATTAGTTAGAGTTTAGGAATCAGACTTTAGTTTGAACGTTTTGTTTTAACTTACCCTTTTGCATGCAGCAAAGAGCCTGAATCAGCCTGTTATTTTCACAATCACTAATGTGTGATTTGTTTTTTTATGTAACAGGGCACTCTGGACTGGGAGGACTTCCAGCAGCGCGTAGATAACCTGTCAGTCTTCCTCGTGAGGAGGAGGGATGGCACCAGGATGTTTGTTCACCCCTCCTTCAGAGAGTGGCTGATCTGGAGAGAAGAAGGAGAAAAGACAAAGTTCCTGTGTGATCCAAGGTGAGCATGGGCACTATTAATGGATCGGTTTAATCTAAATATGTTTTATTACCTGAAAAGTTCAAAAACACCCAGCTTAAGAAATTAAAACTTTAAGTTCAGAAGGACTATTTTAGAAAGCTGCCATTTTCATTAAGCTTAGCAACAAAATCACTCATTAAACACAATGCCATGAGATTAAAAGCTTGCATTTTGTTTGTATGAAGTTGTGGAACAAGGTGGAACGTTCTGCAGACTGAAAACTAAAACATCTCAATAAAAGCCTCTGGTACTTTTTGTTTTCCAGCTGAATGATGTGTTTATAACCTTTATGACGATTAAAATGAGTTCCTGCAGCTGTGCAAACAGCCTCATACACCATCCACATGAGTGTGTGTTCAGCGTTAGCTCATTGTGTGGCGCTGGTCTCTGCAGGAGCGGACACACCCTGCTGGCCTTCTGGTTCTCTCGGCTGGAGAACAAGCTGAACAGACAGCAGACAATTGAGCTGGGCCACCACATCCTCAAAGCACATATCTTCAAGGTATAGCGCACAAACACCCCCCCCCCCCCCCCCCCCCCGACACACACACAGTTGTATTCCAGCTTCACGCTAATGAATATTTGCATTCCGTTTTCAAGGGTCTCAGTAAGAAAGTGGGAGTTTCCTCATCTATCCTGCAAGGCTTGTGGATTTCTTACAGCACAGAAGGTCTCTCAGCTGCTCTGTCTTCACTCCGAAATCTCTACACTCCCAACATCAAGGTACACACACGCGTTCTTCAGTGTCAAATACATAGAAAGATTCCAGATTGTTCTCAGAGAATGTTTCTCCATTATTTACTATGTGTGTTTGCTTTAGGTGAGCCGGCTCCTGATGCTGGGCGGAGCCAATGTGAACTACCGCACAGAGGTGCTGAACAACGCCCCCGTCCTGTGTGTCCACTCCCACCTGGGCTACATGGACATGGTGGCGCTGCTGCTGGAGTTTGGTGCCTTTGTGGACGCCCCATCTGAGAGCGGCCTCACACCTCTGGGCTACGCTGCTGCTGGTGGGAATATGGCCATCGTCACTGCCCTTTGTCGCAAGAGAGCTAAGGTCTGTGGCAGGAGGATGTCCGATCAGCTGGACTCGTCACTGTTAGCTTTCACCTTTATGCCATGTTTGTTGTGCGTCTGATTCCAGGTGGACCATTTGGATAAGAACGGCCAGTGTGCCCTGGTGCACGCGGCCCTGAGGGGCCACATGGAGGTGGTGAAGTATCTGATCCAGTGTGACTGGAACGTGGGATCCCAGCAGCAGTCACCGCAGACGCAGCAACAGGCGGCCTTCACCAAAAGCCACGCGGTCCAGCAGGCGCTCATCGCTGCAGCCAGCATGGGATACACAGAGGTGCACCTAAATGTGAAGCTTCTCATTCTGAACGTCCTCCAGTTGTAGGGCACCAACCTGAGTGGATGACACGCAGAGAGTTTTATCTGCTGTACAGCTAAATGTGTCTGCTGGTGCTTTCTCAGAAAGAATAGGAAGAAATTAAATATTTTAAAGAGAACGTTCTTTAAATTATGTTCATAATAATGTTGTATTTTTGATGCAGATCGCTGATATTATTCTTTCTGCTATCTCAGTGCTTAAAGAGCAAGTCACCCCCAAATCAACTATTTTTTTCTGATAAACTATATAAATGCGTGTCTAATCGTGCTGCAGACATGTGTAGTCAATAGTTTTGCACTTTAGTGCATTTTAGTTAAAATTTAAATTTTCTGCCTGAAACTGTCAGTGTTGTGCCGTTGTCAGGTAAAAACTCTTCACTGCATTTGAATTTAAATCTGCCACCGCTATTGGCTAAGAGGTATGCTATGATGTAAACTGGTACATTATGATGTCACAATGCCGTGAGTGTGTGTATTTGTTAGTGGCTCCACCCTCTCGGTCTGCTAGGCAACAGCATTTGTTGCATTTTTCAAACATGAAGTGGGAGTGAAGTACGCTTCTTGTAAAGGGTGACTTGCTCTTTAAGAAAATAAAACAAAATCTGTTGTGGCGAGAATATCATCTGCATTTTTTATGCTTTCCAAATAATTGTAGAAGTTCTTCTTAAAGCAGCCGTAATTTTTATTTGGAGCCTTTTTATGAAGAAATTTCAGAAAATAAATACTACAGAATGGCAGTATTCAGTAAATAAAAATAAGCCTTTAAAAGTGCAAAGAAAATGTTAAATTAAATTAAAGAACAAATACATAAAATTAAAATACATTTAAAAAACATTTACATAAATTGTAAGAAATTAACAAAGATGCACTCAGATTTGCAGGTAAATAACCAATTTTACATACCTAATAATCATTTCACACTGAAATAAAGTTTGTATTAATCTTTGTTAGTTTTTTAACTTTTTTTGATTAAAATTACTTCCATTTATCCCTTTAGTTTGTCTTTTACCAGCTGATTGTTTTATTTTATGTTAGTTTTCCTCCTGATTTAACTTCTTTTTATGTTAATATTTTAAAAATTTTATGAGCTTTTTACTCAAAACATGAAGCATTTTTCATCAAACAAGTGTGTTGTTGCAAAAAGGCGAATCTGCTTAAACAGCAGCAAATACAGAAACAAATGAACAAATAAACACAAATGTTTGTTTAATATTTATAAGTTAAGTTATTGCTTATACTAAATTTAGATATTTTGTAGGATTGTTTAAAAATACGTGACTTTATGTGTTGTAGGGATTTTTGCAGCATGTCCTTTATAGACCAGATCAAAGTGAAATTGTTTGTGATGGAGGAAAAGGTCCTGAAGAGATTATTTTGTAATTATGTTTGCATGTGTAACGGTTCATACTGGAAAAGCCAGATAAAGGCTAAAATTTATAAAACTTGAACATGTGTTTTTTGTTTTTTCACCTCAGATTGTTTCCTACCTGCTGGATTTGCCAGAGAAAGACGAAGAGGAGGTGGAGCGTGCTCAGATCAATAACTTTGACACCCTGTGGGGGGAGACAGGTGGGAAATAAGATAATTATTGGCTAAAACACTTAACGAGGTTTTGACGTGAACTCCTCAGACAGCTGCAGGAACATGCTGGAGTCTAAGCGGGCTCTCCTGAAGCCGACTCCTCTGTGTGTCGCTGTGAGGCAGAGCTCTGCAGTGCGGATGTAAGCGATCGCTCTTGTGTGTCGGCTGCTGCGTCAGACACCGGTGACAGTGCAGCGGTGTCAGCGGAGCGCAGTCAGTCAGGGCTGGGCTCACACAGAGGACGGGGGTGGCAGTCGCTCCGGGGGGCTCTGAAATGACTAGCCTGATTGTGCTGTGGCAGGGTGTTGAGAAATGTTAGGTATCGTTGTAACCTGAAGCTACGAAAGCTCGTTACAGTCTTTACACACAAACACACACACACACACACCCCGGCAGAGTGGAAGGAGGAGACGTGCTCTCACTCAGCCGCGTTTTTATTGTTTGTGAGGGATCAGGAGGATAGAAGCTGCTGAAGAAAAGGCAGATTTACCAAACCATGTACAGTCAATCAAAAAGTTCCTTCAGCTAATGAAAAGTAGGCTGAAGCCGAGTCGTTCCTCCCCGCGGGAGCTTCTACCGCTCTGATTAAAAGAAATAAATTCACACAACCTAAATCAGTCCAATTATAATCATTAAATGTGAAAAATGTCTGCGCAAAGGCCAGAAAGTCTCCCATGTATCATTTTCCCCTCTTTTCTCTTTTGCTGCGTGAAACATTTTAATTAAAACTTTGTTTTTCTCACAGGGCTTTCATTTTTATATCCACGTTCTTTAGTTTTGGTGAATGTAAAACATAAAGAAAGTCCTTGCCGATATTGAAGGAGTCCACGTTTTACTGAATCTTTCTATTCTTTATTTTCTGTATGAAATCTAGAGATCAGAATCCTACATAACTGACTCTTCCTCTCGTTCAGCTCTGACAGCTGCTTCCGGTCGTGGGAAGCTGGAGGTTTGTCGCCTGTTGCTGGAGCAGGGCGCCGCCGTGGCTCAGCCCAACAGACGAGGCATCGTTCCGCTCTTCAGTGCCGTCAGACACGGACACTGGCAGGTCGGAGATCCATCGGGAACAAATGCAGTCTTCCTTTGAAAACTTAACTTCCATTATCAGTTATCTCAGTCCAACAAGGATGTAATCTGATTACTTTTATTTTCAAAATGTGTTTATGAATTTTTAAAATGTTTTAAACCATGTTTACTTACATAATTATTCCAAAAACCAGGAAATATTAAGTACACTTTAAATAACACTTTATAGAGGATACATTATGTCTGTTTTTATTGCATTATTTAGTTATTTTAATAACGCAGGAAAGGGATGTTTGACCTTTTTTTACTGACCGTTTCGACCACTCCTGCAGGCTTCTTCAGAGCTAGCCGCTAATGGCGCCATTAGCCGCTAGCAACTAACTTTGTAGGAGTGGTCGAAACGGTCAGCAAAAAAAGGTAAAACATCCCTTTTCTGCGTTAATAAAAGAACTAAATAATGCAATCAGATGAAACACACCACATGAAAACACAAAATGTCAGTTTTCATTCGTTCCTGAACTTAGTTTTTGAACTTTTCTATCTTTTTTCTGGTAATTGGAGTGTTAACCCATGAATGATTTATTTTTGCAGATTGTGGACCTCTTGCTTACACATGGAGCAGATGTCAACCTGCCTGATAAACAGGGTCGTACGCCTCTGATGATGGCAGCGTCAGAGGGACATTTGGGAACGGTTGAGTTCCTGTTAGCACAAGGTGAATAAAACATGGAACCAAGAAATGTGTGTGTTTTATCAAAAACATAGTAAGATTTACCCGAGGGCAGGGGTCCGCAACTAAATTTATTCCGAGTTTTTTCCAGCAGACACCCCGAGGGTTCTTCTAAAATAAAGTTCAAGTATTATTGTATCTTAATTGATTAATATTTAAAACGGCTTTGTGTTTCATGTAAACTGGAGAGCGTAAACAATGACTGATATTTGGGATGTGAATTATGCTGCTAAACTTCAAAGTGGAAAAACTGGGGAAGGGCCGTATGGACAGTTTTGACTGGCCGGGTGTGGCCCGCGAGCTGCTAATTGAGAATTACTGGCTTAGGTGGAGTATCTTAAGTTAATGTGCTCAGCTCCTTTATATGGATGAAATAATGATAATTACAGTTTTCAAATAGCATTTTCTGTAATTGCAGCCAAATAAAGTTTTTAAACCATCAAATCCAATTAGGTGAATCATTCCAAACCTAGAGCTGTATGAAATGTGATATTTTATCAGTCTAATTTTTCACCAAATCAAGTTATTTTCTGGTTTTGATATTATACAGAAACATTTTTATTTAGTAAGAAATAAAAATGTAAATAATTTTTTGGGGAAAAGGCCCTGAATAGATTTTATTGGATGTCTTTGGTAACTACAAACCAGCTAAGAGAGGAAGTCTTCTCTATTAAAGAGCAGCCGACATTGATTTAGTTGATTTTGTCCCAGGAGCCTCCCTGTCTCTGATGGATAAGGAAGGTCTGACTGCTCTGAGCTGGGCCTGTTTGAAGGGTCATCTACCCGTGGTGCGCTACCTGGTGGAGAGCGGCGCCGCTACCGACCACGCTGACAAGAACGGACGCACGCCTCTCGACCTGGCTGCGTTCTACGGCGACTCTGAAGTGGTATGTTTGGAAAAGTACATCAGAGAATGAATAATAAAGGCAACATGAGTACAGAGTAAAGTAATTATAAGAAACGAAGAAACCCATAATGTAGAAAACAGAATTACAACATTATTTTTTGTGGAAAGCTTCTTAAACAGGATTCTGTTCTGATCATAAGAGTTTGTGTCCCAGGACTGGTAAGCTAACAGCTAGTCCAAACCCACTAAATCCTATTCTTCTGAACAGAGGTCACTCAGGACCCCATCTACAATGGCCAAGATAGCAATTATTTATAACTTTTACACATAAAAACACTTCAAAATGACCAAAATCTCCCTTTAGGAGACAGTGGCCTCATCGCGATTGGTTTTGGGTCGTTTCAGGTCCAGTTCTTGGTTGACCACGGCGCCATGATAGAGCACGTTGACTACAGTGGGATGCGTCCCCTGGACCGAGCGGTGGGCTGCAGGAACACATCGGTGGTGGTTGCTCTACTCAAGAAAGGAGCCAAGATAGGTGAGAGCAGGTCGACAGATTGTTGTTAAACGCATCGTAAATGCAGGATATTTATATTAGTTTATTTAAATGAAACAAAAGACTTTGAAATCAGATCTTGTTGCATCAGCTCAGGAATGGGCTGCATGAAAAAGCCACCCAGGGTGACTCCTGAGTTGCTGCAGAGCTGTTTTTCGTGCAGGATTCAGGTTTTTGTCTCCATGTAGCATAAACCCCTCCCTGCTGCTGTGTGTCATCTGCCCCTTACTGCTGCACTGTGCTGCTCTGCTATTTACGGCTCTGATGTGTTTCTTTTTATTATACAGTTGTACCACTGTGTTTCTCTTTTCTTTCTCTCTTTCTGTCATTTTCTCTCAGTGCCTCTTGTTTGTCTCTCTCAGTCACATCCTCCTCCTCCAATCCTCTGCAGTTGCTCAGAGACGGGTTGTTATTAGCTTTTGAGGTGTTTCTTTCTGTTTTTTAGTTGGGTTTTTTTGTTTTGTTTTTTTTTTGTTTTGTTTTTTTTGCCGAGGCACTTCGCTTCTCACTGCTGCTTGTGTTCCTTTTCTCACTTCTCCTTCACCACCACCACCACCTCTCTTTATCTTTTACTCTCCTCCTGTCTCTGAATCGCTCTCCTCTTGCTGTTATGCACTCCCACACCCCTGTCTCCTCTGGTATTCACCCACTCTGTCCTTCCACTCGCCCTCCCTTCCCTTCCCTCACCTCGCCTCACCTCACTCTTGCTTCCAACCCACTGCCTCTCTCACCGGCACCAGGATGTCAGACGCTGCCCAGTCGGCCCCGAGGTAAAGCCGAGGCTGTCGACTTCTCACCCTACCAGGCATTTTGACAGCTCTATCTCCTCTTTCTGTGTTGTCTATGTCGTCTCTTAAGTGTCGGCAGGCCAGCTTAGCTTCCTTCTCAAACTGACAAATAATAACACGCACAGGTATTAGCAGTGACAGTGATGCGGTCGGGATTGTCTAGAGGTAGATGCTAACGTTCATATATATTTATATAAAATCGACGATGGCATGCCGAAGTCTCCCAGCCTGTGACATGGTATTGATGTGTTCCATCCTGCAGATGCATGACAGAAGTCCTCAGTCACACATGTGTGAACAAGATTTAGAAGCATGTATTTGTAATTGCCCCTCCTGTGCACCCCCGCCACCACAGTAACCTCCATCGTTCATCCACCAGACTCGCCTAGGCCAGCCAGCAGCCCCCAGTCTCCACCAGCAGCTCACAGGACCTCGTCACATCCCTCCTGCTTGCCCCTTCCTGTTTATTTTTCCTCTTTGTGGAATTTTTATCTCCGTGGTGTTACGTGTTTACACGTGTTTGACTTTTCCCCCCACACATCATATTTATGAGCTCCTGACTATGTTAGGTAAACTTAACTGTAGCTTTTGATTAAACACAAATTGTGTATTTTGATTTGAAACAAAAAACCATGAGTTATTTCATATAAATTTATTCTGTTCAGTGCATCAGTATGAGGTTTGCTTGGGTCAAATCCTGATATTTGGTGCATCATTTTATTATAATAGTTTGTTTTTGCACAGTTCAGATTGGCTCATGGTTTTGATGCTGCTTCCCACTGGATTAGCGATCAGTATTTGACCCAGGCCTGATGTCACGGCGGGGTGTCAGAGCTGAGGTGTTTTATCTTTTCTCCACATTAGACTGCCTGTTTTCTCTCTTCCATTCACTCATTTTGGCTGTTGTCCTCATTCCTGTTATTACTA